AAGCTTCAATATGATCACGAAGGGTGATACACTTCTCGCCATCATGGCCATTATGCTCGTGGTAACAGCAAAACGTGCCCGTGTTCTTCGTGGGCTTGTAACCCGACTGCTTCGGCATTGGCTTCGGTATCAAGTGTGCTATGTTGGGGTAAATGGCCACACATGTGGCATTCAAAGGCATGTATGTCTTATACCTCAGGGCAGGGCTTGTCTTGACACGTTCTTGGCCCACTGTGTTGACTACCTGGGGACGGGCATTATTGTGGCGATACCCTTAGTTATCGCGATAGTGTCCCTTACTCCTTTTACTAAAATGAGACTGGTGATGATGAAAATCTTTCCTTTTGCCCTGATATTGATATGTCTATTGACTTGGCAAAGTATTAAGTAAGGCAAGGGGAGGAACCGCTGTCGTTTGGAAGGTTGAGGTCTTCTCATTTGGGTGGGTCTGGCTTCCACTCCCCACTTGCTGATAGGGGATGGTTGTTGGGGGTTTCTCTTGGTATGCCATTGCCTCGGTGGAGGCATGGTTATAAGCATGCGCCATAACCTTAGAGTAAGTCTTCCAAGCGTTGGCATTGATCATGTACTTAAAGAAACAGTCACGTAGGCCTGCCGTAAAGGCTTTGAGGGCAGTCTTGTCGTCTGCCTCGGCACAACGGGAATACTCATGGCTGAAGCGACCAGCATACATACGTAATGACTTGTCTGGCTTCTGGCCAATAGTGTATAAGTCATCCGTAGAGTGCAAGTGATCGGTCTGGAAAATGTGTTGAGAAACAAACAGTTTCCTCAATTCCTCAAATGAGTCTACCGTCTCAGGTGGAAGACGGCAATACCAGTTTAGAGCTTTGCCAGAGAGGGTGAAGGGGAAGAGAAGACATCGCTCTTCGTCGGTGTGCATTCGGTATGCCATAGTGGACTGAAAGATATTAAGGTGTTCAATTGGATCCTTCTTTCCAATATAGAGTTGCAAGCCAAGCTTCTGCTTTGTCTTTGCTTGGAGGGGGTGTCGAGGATCCTCCTTGTAAGAAGGCTAGGCCTAGGTTGGTTCCAATCAAGTATCTCAAATTGTCATTCAGCCTTCAACTTGTTTACTTCCTTAAGGAGCTGTAGGATAAGAGGGTCATGAGTGGAGTCATGTACCACTGGAGCTTTCTTTCATAAATCTCCATCTCCTCTTGGAAGTAGGAAGGTTTGATCAAGAGCATGTGATTTTTCCCTAGACTCGCCGTATTGACTTCCAAGGTATGTCTGTCGAAACATCTTTGAGTCCTCTATACCTTCGTGTTTCTCTAGGACTTATTGCCCCTTCCCCAAATTGGTAGCCGGTCTGGGACATGGGATGGGACCGAGTTTTTCAGAGACCCTTGGGTCATTGATCTTCGAGCTTACATGGACAGGATTGTCTCGACGTTACTTTAGAAAGCCTTGACAGTCGTGAAAGACAGCTTTCGATCCTTCCACTCATTCTGTAAGGAGGTGCCTTCTTCCACTCCTCCTGCTTCGGGTCGAAGCAGCTGGGTTGAGAGAAGTCTCCGTGTTGGGGGGCACCCAGTTGATGGTTAACTTCCACAGGGGTAATGAGCTCGTGTGTTTTAGTATATCTAGCCTCGTGGAGCATCTCGAAGACCTTCTTATACTGCTCTTGGAGGATCTCATTCTTCATTGCTATCTTGTTATTCTGAGCCTCAAGTTCATCGACTTTAGCCTGAAGATCAAACTTCTTTTGTTCATTCTTTCGTTGCTTCGCACCAAGTGCAAGAGGGGTGTCATTCTGTGTGTTGTGGCTTCCTTCGCTCCCCATGCTGGAAAGGTATGCCTGGTCAAATGAGAGGGTATAAATGGTGGAAACCAGCTTAACAAAGCTGAAAAGAGTGGGAATAAGTGTCGTTCCCACAAACAGCGCCAAATGTTGATGCACAAAATCAATGAGGACTTTGGTACAACAGAAAATGTTAAGTTTGTGACCTTCGCTAGATTGCTCTGGTCACTAATGTGGATAAGTATGTAAATGGATAAAGGCAGGGAAGCAAACACAAGATCTACGTGGTTAACCCAGATTGGCTACATCCACAGAGTAGAGGAGTTCTCATTAATTGTGAAGGGTTTACACAAGTACATAGGTTCAAGCTCTCCTTTAGTGAGTACAAGTGACTGATGTAGTACAAATGACATTAGGAAATATTGTGGGAGAATGATCTCCTTTTATAGAAGAGAGTTTCTAGCTTTATTTTGACATTGACACATGTCGTGTTGTGATTGGCTTCTGATGTTGACACATGTCGTGCTATGATTGGCCTCCTGGTTGGCCTCCTCGTTGGAGGGAAACTCTTCTGGGTCCTTGATGGTATAACGTTGACCGGTGCTCAGTAATTTCGGGATTGGTCAAGTATGGTACAAGCATAATTAATTGGAGAATATTTAATGTTTTTTTTTATTGGAATGGAAAATTTATCAAACAAGAGTGATGGGTGTTAAACTTTTTATGAAAAAGTTAATATTGAAATGATTATAGCATAAAAACATAACTTGTTTACGAGCTTTAATAAAAGGGGAAGATTCGAACAAAAATTTAAGTTCAGATTCTCAAAACTATTACCATGAGAAAGGAATTAGTTTTTCTATGGTTAAATAAAAGCGGTTCAGTTTGAAAAACGAAGGCTAATTACAAGATTTATAGACCTTATATCTATATAAACTGAATGAAAAATGAATTAGTTTTTCTATGGTTACACAAAAGGGGTTCAGTTTGAAAAACGAAGGCTAATTACAAGGTTTATAGACTTATTTTATATAAACTGAATAAAAAAGGAATTAGATTTTGTTTTTCTATGGTAAAACAAAAGGGGTTTTAGTAAAAACAAAAAACAAGTTGTTTTACGTCAATGAAACTCGAACTCAGGACAACTTGGAACCATCAAACTCCACTAAACAATGCCCTACAAGCTCTAAATGTTAGCAAGCCATACATATATATTTAATAAATCTCAGGATGGGCCTAGGCCATACCTGGCCTCCATATGGGTCCGCCACTGAGTTGCGGGATGTGAATTCTCAATACATCAGCAAAACAACAGTGGTGTCATTCACATCCCTCAACTATACAGTAAGTTTTTTGACACTAAAAGAGTATGTACTTAAACTTTTTGTTTTTTCTTGTTTTGTTAGAATTTGGTTAGGTTTAGAATTTGAATATTCGATCCTCTCCAACATAACAAGAAAAATAAAAAAATACCATATGTTAACTATAAAATTATTAATCTCATAATCATATAGTAATGGAGTTGACAATGTATAGCAATTAAATTAATTATTGTTTGATGATGATTGCTTTGTTTATAAAGGTCTTCGCCCTTGCCTTCCTTAACCCTCAAACTATGCCTGCAAATCAGTGTATTATAAGTTTAAACAAGTAACCAGAAAGCATTTGATTTCCATGTGTGTGAAAGGCCGATAGGGGCCACAAGGTATTGCTGGTCACTGTCAACATGGTGAAGCATCGTCGGCAGAGATTTATGCTGCAAGTAAAATAAGCTTAAAATAATAATATTAATGGATTAGTAATATATGGGGAAGAAACACCAGAAACGAAAAGGAATAATAATGCACAAGATCAAGGACATACTATGTATGTTGCCATGAGATCATTGGAATCTATTATCTGGCAGATGAATGAACTAGAACCATTTCATTTGAAGAATTCTTTTTCTCATATCTATCCGCCCATCATGGTAAAAATCAACTTGATCTTACTTATGACTTTGATATTAAAAAAAACACACATATGTTGTAACATCGCACATCGTTCAAGGGAGTGGATCATGTAAGCCTTATATGTATATTCTCATCTCTACCTAGCACGAGGCCTTTTGAGAGCTCACTGGCTTCGGGTTCCATCGGAACTCCGAAGTTAAGCGAGTTCGCACGAGAGCAATCCCATTATGGGTGATCCACTGGGAAGTTCTCATGTGAATTCCCTGAACCAAAACCATGAGCGCGTGGTCGGGGCCTAAAGTGAACAATATCGTGCTACGGCGGAGTCGAGCTCGAAATGTGGTGGGGGCCCAGGCCGGGATGTGACATATGTCAAACTCGCTCCATAAAGTAATCTTACCTTATAATCCGAACCATTTGTAGGTCGCTATTCATAGATCATCTTTATGAATATTCATTGAAATAAAAAAAAAATTATTTAGATATTTATATGTGACCTAATAAATTGACAAACACAATATTGTCGAAAAACAATAAAATTTTGACGTTAATAATTCAAGGGAAATGATAACCGAAAAAAATAATCCATTTAGGTTATTAGAAATATTATAAAAAAAAATTGATCACAAATAGTCCAGTTAAATATAGAAATAAACTTCACATTGTAATAAGTTAGAAGTCAAAGTATAACTTGATACGCAAGTGGTCCTCTACCACACTGGTGAGGAGTGTTGCCTCTACCATGACATGAATTCAAACCTCGCCAACTCTCTAATCTAACAAACCTACATTAAAAAAAAAGTATAACTTGATATAGATAAGATAACAATGATTTTCACGCCCTAAAGTCAAAAAAATAATTTTTGTAACGATACCTTGTCACATTTCTTCCATATTTTATTTTGTTGTAGTAGCAAATTATTAGTGGCCATCAAGATATCTATCCAATGGAAGCTAATTAATTTGGACATGATGATATGGTTCATGCAATTGATATAGTAATTAAAAAGAATAACGGAAACTCAACGAGGTGAATCACCTGCAGGAAGAGTATGCTTATGTTGTGGGTTGCCAATGCTACCTCACAAAGCATTGACCTTGTATCTAATTTTAAAATGCGAAGGGTCACCGTCCCATACCTTTTACCCTAACGGCTACATTGGAAGTAACAACAAGGGGGAAAAATATTAAAAGAATAAAAAGTTAACGTCCAACAGATGGCGGGAAATTTTGCCATAAATAGGCTGATCACCACCCTTTCTTCCTCACCACATCCACCAACTCTCTCTCTCTCTCTCTCTCTCTCTCTATTTGTGAAGCTTAATTTTTTTTGTTTTAATCAGATCAATGGCAATCCCAGTTATTGATTTCTCAAAACTTGATGGTGAAGAAAGGGCCAAAACATTGGCTGAAGTTGCTAATGGATGTGAGGACTGGGGATTCTTCCAGGTACTAATTATTATCCATCTTTGATTTAGCTTATATGTTTGGTGGGGAACAATTTGTGCTTCTCATTACTTTGTTGTGCTTTGTTTTTCTCTTTGTTAACAAAAGTGTTTAATTTTGGATGTTTGTGTTTTTCACAGCTGGTGAACCATGGAATATCGGAGGAGCTTCTCGAGAGGGTGAAGAAGGTGACCGGTGACTTCTTTAGGATGGAAAGAGAGGAGAACTTTAAGAATTCCACACTAATGAAGGCGGTAAATGAAAACAAAAAATTGGAGAATGTGGACTGGGAGGATGTCTTCACCCTCTTGGATGACAACGAATGGCCCTCGAAAACCCCTGGATTCAAGTAAGTAATATGTAGAACTAGTAAGCAGCACACTTCAAGCAATGCTCTCAAATTCCTAACATAATATGTAGAACTAGTAAGCAGCACGCTTCAAGCAATCCTCCTAAATTCCTAATCAGTTATTCAGATTAACCGTTTGGCAACATAACATATTAGACTGTATGACAATTTCACATTTTAAGGGGAGTAGAATTTGTAAATATGTGATATATTATATCGCAGTGTTCAATTATATGGAATCTGATAATTATTTTTCATATTGATAGGGAAACCATGGAAGAATACAGAAGAGAACTGAAGAAACTTGCTGAGAGGGTCATGGAAGTGATGGATGAGAACTTAGGGTTGCCAAAGGGATACATGAAGAAAGCCTTCAACGGTGGCGAAGAAGACAATGCCTTTTTCGGCACCAAGGTGAGCCACTACCCACCATGCCCTAAGCCAGAGCTGGTGACTGGTCTCCGAGCTCACACTGATGCAGGCGGTGTAATATTGCTCTTCCAAGATGACAAAGTTGGAGGCCTCCAAATCCTGAAAGATGGGCAGTGGATAGAAGTGCAACCATTGCGCAACTCGATTGTCATCAACACTGGGGACCAGATTGAGGTCCTGAGCAATGGCCGCTACAAGAGTGTTTGGCACAGGGTTTTGGCTACCCCAACTGGGAATCGGAGGTCAATTGCTTCGTTTTATAACCCATCAATGAAGGCCACAATAGCTCCTGCGCCGGAATTGGTCGAAAAGGAGAACCAAGAAGTGGGTCAGACTTATCCCAAGTTTGTGTTTGGTGACTACCTCTCTGTATATGCTGAGCAGAAGTTCCTCCCCAAGGAACCAAGGTTCCAGTCTGTGAGGGCCGTGTGAAAAACATAAGATCCATATTAAATGGGGATAAATTTACTTCACTTTTTATCACTTGGGTGGTTAAGTACGTACTATTATTACATACTCGCTCGTCTCTCTCTCAACTGAAAAGCTTCTGTGTGGGAGGAGAACGCTGAAGTGGGTGTAAGTCAGTCTGCGTGTTATGTGCTTGTTGTTGCTTTTTTCTGTCTACGTATTGGTGTGTAATGATGAGGATGCTTAAAAGCTCCATTTCAGATTTGCTATGTAAAATAGTAAAATATTATGGATTGCAATCTTAAATTTTGTTGTTGGTTATGCACTTCTTCTTTCCTTGTGTAGCAATGAAACTTTTTTTTTTTTTTTGACAAGACAATATCATGTACGTACTATTGTTAGGAAGATTTGAATTTTGAGTGTAAGAAGACGGATACAATGCTCTTACCAACTGATCTAACCAATTTGCATGTATCAATGGACTTTGATGGTCACTTTTTAGTTAATAGACTTCTCATAAGTAGCTAGATGCATTTTAGCAATTTATAGATTCAACTTAACTAGAAATTAAAATCTATTTTTCTTGGTTTTTTTTTTTCTTTTTTTTTTTGTTTTTTTTTTTTTTTTGTTTTTGTTTTTGTTTTATACTAGCGAAGTTGAGAGGGAAGAATCTAGCGCTGGACCTCAAGTTACTCGCTTCATCTATAAGCCTTTTACGTATTTTTTTTATGTTTAACCGTTCTTTACAGGTTTTAGCAATGCATATAATCAACTTAACTAGAAATTAAATCTTCTTTCCTTGGTTTTTTTTTTTTTATACTAGCGATGTTGCGAGGGAAGAATCTAGCGTTGGACCTTAGATTATTCTTAATTGCTTCAGCTACAAGCCTTTTACGTATTTTTTTATGTTTAACGGTTTTTTACATACGTCTTTGATGGTTCCCTATATGTTTAGCAAGTCCCAAGTATATCCACAAGGAACAGCCTAATGACAAAATTCACAAAATCCAAAAGGAAGCAAGCCACCAATTGCCGTAAAAACTTCTTGACCATAAGGAATTAGTCATGCTACCTAATCCTAAAATTTAGTGTATTCCTCATCTCTAGTAAGTGAGAGGTCTTAGTTCGATTCTCGCTAAAAACAAATTTGAACCACATTATTACTAGTACATTCTGAGACTTAACTCACTCATCCACCCTTTTCAGTAAATAATATCGTTAGAATGAAAAACAAAATTAGTCCTACTTTCTATAGTAAGATTTTCAATTCTAATCTCTCTCATGAAAAAAATAAGATGTGTTGGAAAATTAATAGCACTTAAAAAATGAAAAGAGGATCACTCAATAACATCCATGAAAGAGTAAGTATAATTTCTATTGCTTTATACTGATAATGAATATACTTACTCTCAGTTTTATTTCCTCTAATCTGTAATATGTACAATAATATACAGAATCATTAACCAAGAATGAAGAGTGGAGTAGGTTTCCTTTTTTTTCGTTTCGGAGGCTTAAAGGGCCTTTTGATCTAGTCTTTCGTTCCAGTTTAGGCAACGAATCAAGCTTCGAAACCAATCACCTGTTTGGTCACGTTTGTTAACAGTTGGAAGTGGGTGTTGGCTCATAGATATTCGGACAGAGTCTCCTCTTGAGAGTTGCTGCCTTCTCTTTCCGTCAAAAGAAACCCAGGCATTGCTTCGAGCATCGCTTGGAATCTGTACAAGTAAATGAGTTATCTCATGAATACAACAGCTCGCTATAATTATAAAAATCCTCTCCTAGTCCTCCAGATAACAATAAATAATGCTGGAAGCGTGGGGGAAAACAAAATTCACCTTCAATTCAAGCTTTGCAGAATCTGGAAGTATAACTGGTCTAAATGAGAGGGAGTGTGGGCAGATTGGGGTAAACAACATGCACGGGACATTTGGATGCACCTGCATTTCATATTATCTAGTGTTAGAAGCACAATGACTTTGTTAAAAATCAACCGCAACAACGAGAGACAAATAATAAAAATTGTGGTTTCGGCATGAATTTCTACTTTGATTGGTCAATATGTATAACATCTTCAAATTGAAAGTCGGCAACTTGTTTATAAACTTGCCCCACACTAGTTTGAATTAGCCAAATAAATAAGGACTCCTATGTGTGCTTGAACACAAACTAGCAATTTTCTGAGCAAACACCTCATCAATCCTACGTTCGGGCAAAAAGCAACTAAATGTCTAGCATAAATTAGGAATACGTGCACACACACATATGTACTAATGTAGACTTTGAGCACAACTTTTAAGCACATTAAAATAGACGTCTGCCATACGAATTTCCATAATCCTTATAGTAGGAACTAGCATTTTTAAACAAATCATATAAATAACTATATGGAAGAGAATTTCTCTTTCATTAGGAAATATCACACCTAACGCAAACTGAACCACCCAAGCCCTTCAATTTGCACAAGTGCCAGGTACCAAATATTGAAAGATGGTCACTACGACACTGAAGAGGACTTTGCTTACCATGGAACCTCCTGCAGCTGTAGAGTATGCAGTACTTCCTGTAGGTGTAGCAATAATGACCCCATCACCTTGGACCTAAAAGATGTGGTATTTTTCAATAGACAGCATGACAAAATAATTGTTACGGAACTCTCCATGTTTGTTATATGAGTTTCGTCACATCAGATGCCATCCACATAGTAATTACTCTCACAGATTTGATAGCTAGGAAAAGAAAAAGAAATGGCCTTCTATGACTGTGGAGAACAAAGTACAACTCATTTACTCGTGAAAATTTTAGGACATTATTAGAGCCTATTACAATAATCATTTTATAAGATATGCAATACAAATCTCACCTTGGTTATAAGCCGGTCTTGTTCATAACATTCAATCTTAGAAAGGTATGGATTAGAACCTCGATCAACAACTATTTCATTCAAGACATCAAATACTTTCCCAGGCATTGCTTTACCCTTTCGAAAAATCTCACACCTGAGCCGCATTCTCAGAGTTATATAAACACCATCACTTGTGTTATTTCCATGGATCACTTGCCTTAAGTCCTGCATATAGTCATCAAACTGATACAAAAGTATAAGATGGGTTAGACAAATGACAATCTATGAGAGTACATAAATCACCTACAAGCCTACAAAAGACAATCAAACAACTCACCGTATGGGAAGTCAAAAATCCAAGAGATCCAAGATTAAATGATACAATTGGGGGAACAGCACCTTTAAACAGATTTGAAGCATGGAGTATAACTCCATCTCCTCCCAGGCATGCCACAAAATCAACCCTCTCATGCAGATCACTGAATTTATCAATCAAGTATAGAAAATTTCCAATAAGGTCGTGAAATATACAAACTGCTAGCCAACTTTAGGTACAAGTTTGGTACCTGGTATCTTGACTATAGAAGGTCTGAACAAATCCAAACCCTGGGATTCTAGCAAACACATCATGCACATCTGGTTCCACCAGAACATTCATTTTCTCTTGGTAATACAAGAAAGAGACAACCTACACAAAGACATGGAAAAAGCGTTAAGAATATCCAGCGAACAAACTCACAAATTAAAATAATCGTATATTTAAAAATAACTGCTGACATAGTAAGATATCTTCCAATATACCAGCAGAAAATAAAAATGCATCCATATATACTGTATGGTGCATACAAGGCCCTTTCACAGAGGGATCCCCACATTTGCAAAACTGGGAATCCTTTTGTGGGGACCATGGGGCATTGTTGCTTAACGATCTAAACCATTTTAAGTCTTTCTAAATGATCATCCTTGCTTATGATAATAATCCCAATCAGAAATCATTAAGATATCTGACTATGTTAACTAAATAGACAAACACAATGTTTCTGGTAAACACTTGCATGATCATGAATCCGTGATGATAATCAAAGGGTTTGACTGGTTTTTTACAAGGATGAATTGTGGATGTAGAATGAAAAAGATAGTCAGTTCGGAACATTGAACTGCAAGAGAAGAAAGCCCACCTGGGATCCCACTATATGTATGCTACTGAATACCAAATTGTTTGAAATACATGTGTGGAGGAGCTGTAGTAAGAACATGTTCCCCTTAATTTAGCCTTTAGTTTGTTCAAGTTCATGTACTAGCAAAGCAAGCAATCTTTAATGCTTAATGAACTAACCCCATTGCCTAAGTTGTTCATTCTCATTGTAGTGGATGTAGAAAATTTTGTAATGAGCATGATCTTTCCGGTTTACACTCTTATATTCATACACATTAATCGTTGATACAAACTCTGTATTTTTTTAAGAGAAAAAAATTATAAAAAAAAAAAAAAAAAAGAGATGCAAAACAATATGGACAAGACTTCCAACTAAATAACAGAGTTTAGAAACTCTGACTGACACCAGTTCTATCATTAGACCACATTGCAAGTACAAAATGCAAAGCATCATCTAAAAACAGATAGTAGGTTTTAAATATGAATAGAATATTTACAGATACTAGATTCTCAGATGGTACCTCTTTAGCTTGTTGCATGAGTTCTTGCCCTAGCTTCTTCAACACTAATACTGTCTTTGGTGAGGATTTCCACATAAGCATTTGCTGCTGGGTACTTGGATGAGTGAAGGCCAAGGAGGATTCCGTCACCTTTTCTCGGCTACAAGAGAATCCATCTGTTCGAACTAAAAACATCTCAGCTTTCTTTCTTGACTGCACCCTTACAACACCAGTTGCAGAAGCACACATATTTCCTTCAATTGACCCCAGGTCATCGTCTCCTGAAGCTAAGGTGGCTCCACCATTACTCTTCCTATCCTCATTTACTGCTTTAGGTAAGACACTCTCATCATAACTACTACTCGGAGTAGTAGACACATTACTTGCAATTTCATTCACTTCACCAAATCCGTTCACAACTGGAAGAACAGAACCAGAACTAACACTAGTCAAATACTTCCCATTTCCAGAAGTAGAGGTCTGGACTTCTGGAGATAGATCCTTTCTGTAAGGTGGCCCATATGAATTTTGTACCACCACAAGCTGAGGTGCCGAATTGGTACCGCCTCTCTGCATTGTCTTAATATTGATACCTCTGGAAATTGGTAATGTAGCCAACCTTTTTAACTGATGATTAAAATAGGAGTGAGGTGAGATGCTTTTTCTCCCCAGAAACCTGGACATTTCTTTTCTAGAGAAAACATTACAAGGAGGAACTTGGGCATTCAGGGGTTCAACTTCCCTGCAAAAGTTCATCATATTTCCTTCCCCATTTTCATCTGGTTCTACTGATGTCATGCCTTGGACAGACATAAGGCTGTTATATGTCCCATCTGAGCTCTGATTTGTTTCATCCCTATCTGGAGACACATCCTTTTGAAATACGCCATTTAAACCATAAGTTTTGTCCAGTTCCCCTTGCAGTGGCTTGTTCTTTCCCGGGATAGACCTTTTCTTAGAAGTGGAAGGCTCCAGCACTTCGCCTGCCCCATTTGTATTTCGTAGTAACACATCGTTGATAGCTCTTGACCGCTTGGAGACAAACTGCACATTATAACGCGTCGAGTATTGCCTCCATCTAGAAACCATGGCAGAAGTTCTCAACGCTCCTTCCTTACTATGAAGATAGATCGGCTTCTTGCTGCAATCTGAAACCAAAGATGCAAATTTCTCAACCTGCTCCATTGAAGGTGCAGTCCCAACTTCAACTGGAATTTTGACCAATTCAACTTTCCCGGATGCAATAGAATCATCTATGGCTGAATGATAAGCTTTGTCTTTTACAGTCTCTGCCCTAAGGTCAACAATAGTTTTATATCCTTTCTCTAGTAACCACTTCAGACCTTCTTCTGTTACCTGGCCACCCCTCCAAAAAGCTATCTCTGAATCTACGGACCTAATGTCCTCTTTAGAAGAGGATAAGTAAACAGGAGCCCAATTCGCAAAAAGTGTATGGCAAGGATAATCCTCCCTGCGGGGAAAACCAGAATCATAACAGACATTCTTCAGTCTCTGAAGTTTCCTCCATACATCCAAGCTTCGATCATCCCCAGGAACCAACCAGTTTTCAAGAGCAACATGCAAGCTCTCGCAACACCTTTTCACCTCACTCCTGAAAATGGCGAGTGGAGGAAGCTCATCCTCCATTACACTTAAATCTGCGAGGCGAATGGACGATCTACCAGAAAGCACATCCTCCCTTCCTTTGTTCAACAGGGATACCATACACCCAATCACAGAGACAATTTTATCCTCCAAAAGTGGTTTTTCCTCTGATGGGTAATCATAATAAACACTACATTCACCCGTTACTGGATTGCATAATGTGTCCATCAATGCACTATGAAGCCGTTCAGCACATCTAAAGATTCTACAGTATGCCTCAATTTCTGCAATATCTCCAGGAATAGGACCAATTCTAGGTAATTGCGAAGGATCATGAGGCCGAAAGGTCTTCAAATTCAGAAGCAGTGTCAGTCTACTATACAAAACTTACAAGAGGTCATCAAGTTATTAAGTTTCCACTATAAATCATACACTTCTTTATATGATTAATATCATCAAAATAAGGTTATATACACAAGGTTCGCGAATTAAGCACACGTTTTGAAACCAACACAGACATGCATGCTGTATACAAAAACAAAGGGTAAACTAACAAACTGAAAGCAATGAAATTTATTCCATGACAACAAGTATTTCTTGCTGCCGGATTACGAATGACATAAACACGGTTCCATTGGTTTGTGTTGATTCCAAATTCCAAAACCCAGTTGAGAGATTTTCAACTAGTAAATAGCAACAAAAATCACCAATAAAAGTGCGAGCACTAATGATCGAAACAATTCGAAAGCAAATAAATTTAGACAAAATTGATTTTATACACAAAATCTAACATAACTCTGAGAGTAGATTATCAAACAAATCCCAATCAAACCCATTTCTTTGTTTTGGCCAATCAACGAAACCCATTTGCAGTTTTAGCATAATCTCAGTCTTTCTGTTACCAATTCAACAACTCCACCGCCACTCAAATGTCAGAAACAAGGGAGGGAATTAATACTAGAGTGAGTAGGCTGACCTGAGAGTCCAAGCCGAAGCTGAGAGCGAATGGCTTCGAAAGCTCTGCACTGACAACGAACTTAAGCCGCCGCCTGAATCGCTCTTTCCTCTGGAACTCGAACTCGAACCTGAAGAACTTGACGGCGGTGGTGCTGCTGCCGAAGAACTGGCACGGCGTAAAGACGCAGAGAGGGGGAGGCGATGAAGCGCACCGATTCATGTCGACGACGACGATGGCCAGCTGGCACATAAGGCTGCATGCCACCTTGTGTGAATTTTTCACTGCCCAATTTGCATTTTCTCTCTCTCTCTCTCTCTCTCTCTCCCTTTTTTTTTTCGGTTGTAAAAACTTGTTTGGATGACGAGAAAATGAAATGTGTTGTGGAGAAATTGAAAATTTATTATATACTTATTGAGAAATTATCTAAAATCTTATTGTTTTGTGGTTATTTATTTTCTTGGTGGAGATTGGTTCTTGTTGGATAATAATTTTATTTTGAGTCAAATCATGTAATTGGAAGAAATTGATTGGATTATTTGGAAATTTTATTGGATCAAGTGCTATTCTTTTTGGAGCCTTGTTGAACGCATGAGAGCTGCGTTTTACCATATCTCAGTTATCAAGAAAATGCAAATCATGCCCACAAAATAAACATCGGCAATCTTTTCCGCCTTAATTGGTTCAAAAGTTCGTTTGGAAATATTTTTAAAATAATTGAAAGTATTTATGGTGAAAATATTTATAAAATTAACCCATTCAAGTAGATCACAAAAAAACACTTGAAGTGCTTCATGCAGGAAACACATACATGGTGCTTTTTCTAAAACGCACTTGATGTGCTTTTGAAATGGGTGTAGGAATCCTCGCTGTCGATCAGCATTTGGATTGGCAGTGTTCTAAAAATCGGCTTAGGTGGGCGCCTAGGAACTGGTCGATGACATGCCGTTCCGACTAGGTGCAATCGGCAGACAAAAGCGAGGAGGTGTTAGGCGCCCGCCTGGGCACTCCTAGGCGGCCTAGGCGGTGGTGCTAGGCGTTCCTTTTTTTTCTTGCCTTCTCTCCCAATTGCCGTTCTCCCACCGCCTTTTGCACGAGTCACGACCTCATATTTGTTATGAAATCTAAGTGAAAGAGAGAGGGGGGGAGAAAGAGAAAGGGGGGCGAGAGAGAGGAAGGGTGAGATAAAACGATTTGCTGCAGAGAGGGATGAAGGGGGAGGAAGAGAGAGATCGTTGGTCTGTGCAAAGAGGAGACAGGAGAGAAACGACAATCTCATATGAAGAGAAAAGTTGGTGGGTGCGGCTAACTCTGCTAGGGTTAATTAAGTTTATTAGTTAAAAGTTTGGGCAATTTTTTAAAGATTTTCAGCAAACCCAACTTCAATTTTTTTTAAGAAAACATGGGCCCAATAATAATTTAAAGTTATGGTCTTAACATAAACTCTAAAGCTTTATACAATAATAAAGTTATGGTCTTAATATATATATATATATATATATATATATATATATTTGTATGGTTTGTATTATTTTTTTAAGATGTATTTTTTTTTTTGACACATCCTGACCCGACTTGTCCACTAGGACTCCGAATCGAGTTGTGCTGGCCAACACCTGGAAGGTGACGAAGTCATAAAGTTTAGTGATGTGGAATATGTGAATAAATTTAAACCTAAAAGTGCCTAAATACTCTCGCTGTGAGTTGTAATGAACTCATTTCACACGTGACGTCAGAGCATAAGTAAAGTAGAATAGAGTGGATTGAAAATCATACCATCGAAGGTAATCTCTAATACCAAGATTTGCCATGAATCCTCGTCGATACGAAAACTCTGCTACTAGAACCTGGAGGGATAAAACCAAGAGTGAGTGGGTCTAAATATAAAGCTTTAATAAAGACGTTCTAAATGATATAACCCCTCGTTGTACTACCTATATAGTTTCCAGGAAATCATACTACATATAAGTATGAAGTCAAATGTAAATCCACATTAAATCCAAGAATAATCCAAAATCACTACATATCGACAACAACATAATCAAATCAGGTGCTCATTAATCTATGATAACACACGAGTCGGAGTTGCCTAACGCAACCTGTACGACTCATAACTCAATCTATGATAACACATGAGTCGGAGTTCCTAATGCAACTTGTACAACTCATAAATCAATCTATGACAACACATGAGTCGGAGTTGCCTAATGGAACCTGTACGACTCATACACAACTTGTACGATAGTGTCGAAGTTGTCCGTTGCAACCTGTACGACAATGTCAGAGTTGCCTACCATTGCAACCTATACGACAGTGTCGGAGTTGCCTATTGCAACCTGTACGACAATGTCGGAGTTGCCTAAAACACAAATATAGTCATGCCATCACTCAATAACTCACCTGAACTTACCTGTGCATCCCGCATTCACCTTAGCACTTCAAAGCATTCACAACACTTATATGTAGGTAATATGCATATGGATATGCCATATTGCAATCTAAAGCTCAACCATATCATAGTATTTCAGATTATATAAATATATATACAACATGGCATAAAATGCACAAATCAATTTAAAAGTGTTTGTGGACTTATCAATCATATATATATGATAAAAAGGAAAATGCCCACTCACCTGAGGTCCGTGCTACGACTCCCTAGCACAAATATCGAGACATCACGAACGATCCTCACCTATATCAATTATTTAGTCACGTCTCAGAACTCTTATCAATAGAACACATAACTTACATAAAATACATCCCAATGACGTTCTACAATAATTTGAAACCCATTGACAAAAAGTTAACCGTCGGTCAAAGATCAACGATAGGGTCCACAACCTTATGTAACTCAATCTGAAAGATCTGCATCTCGGATTTTCATTCTACAACTTACAAAGATCCACATTGTCCTTCTAAAACATCATACTAAAGTTTCATTACAATCCAACGGTTAGATCTCCGCCAATTGACAATTCAAGTGGCGGTCAACGTTTTATTTTACGAACTTACACATCTAATTCGAGAAGATCCGTACCTCAGATTTCCAATCTATAAGTTTCTAATATCCTTAAATATTACATACTATATTGTATTAAAGTTTGGTGACGATCCAACGGTTAGATCGTCAATTCACATAATGTTCAAGTAGCGGTCTTTATCAAAACTATGTTCAAACGATGAGATTTCATCAATCAGACTTCACCTATGGAATTGGGGGTGTCAAACATAGCTTAGAAGGGTCAGGGGATGACTCGGCTTACGCGCTGCCGTACACGGCGGTCGGCCGTCCCGACTCGCCGGAAAATCCAACTATTTCTAAAAATTCTCATACTTCACAGAAATGAAGATCTCAATGATTAGAGCAAGTTTTATACATGTAGCCAAGTTCAATTTGGTCAAGAAAAGCCTCATATCACCACTAACCCACTAGAACCCTAAAATTTGGGTGTTCTTGATTCATCCTCAAATCAACTCCAACGTTACAACCACTTATTAGGCATTGCTCCTGACCTCAAGGGAAGTGTTTTGGTGGTGGTGATCAACAATGATGACTTCAGAAATGGTGGATTGTCGTTGTGCATGTCCTCGAAGTCGTCGGTGCAGCTCACGAAATCTAGGCCTAAAATCCACCAATTAATGGATGGAAATTGAAGAGAGGAAGTCAAGGGATGATTTTCAGGTGAAGAATGGGTGAATTTCCTTGGATTAATTGGTGGAAATTGGCAGGAATTAGAACCGGGTCGAAACCGGTTTTGTCGTGGGTGTGGTTGATGGGAAAAGGGAGATCCTCCCTCTTGATTGGCTACCCTCTTATTCATCTAATTGGTCCCTTGCCCTTTGTCTGATTGGTCCACTCCTTCCTCCTTAATTTCTAATTGGTTACAATTCCCACATGGTGGGAGTTTATTTTCCTTTAAATCTATAGTTTAGTGAAACAACTTCAAATGTCCGTAACTATACCGTTATAATCCGGACTCGCAAATGGCTTTCACCTATGCGTTCGTAGCTTCAAAATCTATTCGAAAACATTAATTGTGACTTCGAACGGTCAACGGAAGTCAAACATCCTCGCCTCTAAGGGCATTTTCGTAAAATCACTATTTAGAAAATTTATGAAACTTAAAATTAGAGACGAATTGTCACAATCTACCCTCCTTGAAAAAATTTCGTCTCTGAAATTTGAAAACACTTGTTAAACATAAGGTACTCTAGAAGATAGGAAAAAGTATATATATACTTATATAGAAGGAGGAAATCAAGCTAGAGCGTTTGCATAAAAGAGAATGTCATTCTGTCACGATCAGAGTGTAGTGATTCCTCTTTCATGCCTCCAAACCCAAACTTTTGCTTCTCCTTTAGTACAATACTAAAATATACAGTCCTTTATAAAACATAAAGTAGAAAAATAGATGTATAACAACATAATGTCGAAGTACGTATATAATAAAGTGAAGTTAAAATAGTTGTACTGAAAACAACACCGAAATAGAAAACTTCACCTACACACCCATAGGTGTCACGTGCCACGAAGATGAGTGTGTGCTATCTTTGGGTTAAGCCCAAACAATAATTAAATAACTAAACGTAGACGGATCTAGATGTCCACTTGCTTAACAAGTTCAACAATTAAGTTTTCAATATTACGGTCTGCAGCCCGTAATACCAACAACTCATTATTGTCATGATAAATAAGTAACAAATTCTCGAGGGTGCAGTATTACCATCATACCCCTAATTGGGAAAATACGCATAAATCATCCAATGAGCGCCTTACTCATGTTCACGTACTGCCCTCCTAGGCAACCACGCCAATAACACACAATTTGCTACATCATAATCTCGATCATTCAACTACCTATTCACAATATTTTTCTATCGATCATGTGCTATGGATAAAATTTTCACAATACGCCTCAACAATGCCATACTCAAAACCAAAAATTGTAACCGTAGTTACAACCAACCAAAATAAAGATAGCAATTTATTACAACACACACACCACATAACCCAACAATGTAGTTCATAACACTATAGTGAGCAGGTTCATATTGAATTTTCCCTCGAGTTTCTCAAAATTACACCAATAAGAACAATCAAGAGTTTGAAGGTCAAACAAGTCCAACAAATGTAGAATACAAGGTAATTGAAATTCATATATGACATCTCACTACAACGGTAGCTTCTGGAACATTCAATCACCAACGGTTAAGATTCATTTAGCAGAGTATTTGTTGGGTGATTAAGAAATTAATGTTCACGACTAAATGTCAATGTCCTAGCAACTCCTCTAGACGATTTGCTTGTTTAAAAAATAATACAAAGTGTAGTAGGGTAAACATGGACCTAAAATTGACTACAATACT